CTAGTTCAGTTCTAGTTCAGTTCTAGTTCAGTTCTAGTTCAGTTCTAGTTCAGTTCTAGTTCAGTTCTAGTTCAGTTCTAGTTCAGTTCAGTTCAGTTCTAGTTCAGTTCTAGTTCAGTTCTAGTTCAGTTCTAGTTCAGTTCTAGTTCAGTTCTAGTTCAGTTCTAGTTCAGTAGTTCAGTTCTAGTTCAGTTCTAGTTCAGTTCTAGTTCAGTTCTAGTTCAGTTCTAGTTCAGTTCTAGTTCAGTTCTAGTTCAGTTCTAGTTCAGTTCTAGTTCAGTTCTAGTTCAGTTCTAGTTCAGTTCTAGTTCAGTTCTAGTTCAGTTCTAGTTCAGTTCTAGTTCAGTTCTAGTTCAGTTCTAGTTCAGTTTCAGTTCAGTTCTAGTTCAGTTCTAGTTCAGTTCTAGTTCAGTTCTAGTTCAGTTCTAGTTCAGTTCTAGTTCAGTTCTAGTTCAGTTCTAGTTCAGTTCTAGTTCAGTTCTAGTTCAGTTCTAGTTCAGTTCTAGTTCAGTTCTAGTTCAGTTCTAGTTCAGTTCTAGTTCAGTTCTAGTTCAGTTCTAGTTCAGTTCTAGTTCAGTTCTAGTTCAGTTCTAGTTCAGTTCTAGTTCAGTTCTAGTTCAGTTCTAGTTCAGTTCTAGTTCAGTTCTAGTTCAGTTCTAGTTCAGTTCTAGTTCAGTTCTAGTTCAGTTCTAGTTCAGTTCTAGTTCAGTTCTAGTTCAGTTCTAGTTCAGTTCTAGTCAGTTCTAGTCAGTTCTAGTTCAGTTCTAGTTCAGTTCTAGTTCAGTTCTAGTTCAGTTCTAGTTCAGTCTAGTTCAGTTCTAGTTCAGTTCTAGTTCAGTTCTAGTTCAGTTCTAGTTCAGTTCTAGTTCAGTTCTAGTTCAGTAGTTCAGTTCTAGTTCAGTTCTAGTTCAGTTCTAGTTCAGTTCTAGTTCAGTTCTAGTTCAGTTCTAGTTCAGTTCTAGTTCAGTTCTAGTTCAGTTCTAGTTCAGTTCTAGTTCAGTTCTAGTTCAGTTCTAGTTCAGTTCTAGTTCAGTTCTAGTTCAGTTCTAGTTCAGTTCTAGTTCAGTTCTAGTTCAGTTCTAGTTCAGTTCTAGTTCAGTTCTAGTTCAGTTCTAGTTCAGTTCTAGTTCAGTTCTAGTTCAGTTCTAGTTCAGTTCTAGTTCAGTTCTAGTTCAGTTCTAGTTCAGTTCTAGTTCAGTTCTAGTTCAGTTCTAGTTCAGTTCTAGTTCAGTTCTAGTTCAGTTCTAGTTCAGTTCTAGTTCATTCTAGTTCAGTTCTAGTTCAGTTCTAGTTCAGTTCTAGTTCAGTTCTAGTTCAGTTCTAGTTCAGTTCTAGTTCAGTTCTAGTTCAGTTCTAGTTCAGTTCTAGTTCAGTTCTAGTTCAGTTCTAGTTCAGTTCTAGTTCAGTTCTAGTTCAGTTCTAGTTCAGTTCTAGTTCAGTTCTAGTTCAGTTCTAGTTCAGTTCTAGTTCAGTTCTAGTTCAGTTCTAGTTCAGTTTAGTTCAGTTCTAGTTCAGTTTAGTTCAGTTCTAGTTCAGTTCTAGTTCAGTTCTAGTTCAGTTCTAGTTCAGTTCTAGTTCAGTTCTAGTTCAGTTCTAGTTTCAGTTCTAGTTCAGTTCTAGTTCAATTCTAGTTCGTAGTTCTAGTTCAGTTCTAGTTCAGTTCTAGTTTAGTTCTAGTTTAGTTCTAGTTCAGTTCTAGTTGAGTCCAAGTTGAGTTCTAGTTGAGTTCTAGTTAGGTTCTAGTTCGTTCTAGTTGAGTTATTGTTGAGTTTTTATTCAGTGCTAGTAGTGGAGTTCTGGCTCAGTTTCAGTTGAGTTCAACTTGAGTTGTAGTTCTGTTTATAGTTTCTATCACTATTATAGATATGCTTATGAAAATTGTTTAACAACCCCCTCGTTTTTTGCTTCTTATTATATTTGCTTTATGGTAAATTCTAATTTAGTTTTAATGCATATAAATTACATTATTATAAAATATATTATAAATATGTACATATAAAAATAAAATCAAATCTTAACTTAAATTGCAATATTGTGCATGAGTTTACAAATACTCAAACATTGTATGTACATATGCCTGCATGTATGTATATACTTCATTCTTTCTTCTATTCATTCTATAATATCATTTTGTATTCTCCGTCATCTTCATAGTCCTGGTGCCATCATTAAAAATTCTTTATTATACTCATACTTCATTTCTTCAGTATTGAATTTATAATATTGTTATAGAGAATAAATAAATTTGTTTTTACATTTATAAAACTATAAGTATGAATAAAGAATGCGCTCACTGGTAGGATGAAAATGGCACCAGGATGTGCATAAATATGTTTACAACTACAGAAACATTCATATAAATAAACTAGTGCATACTTATGGGGGAAGTACATGTCCTGTTTATCTTATATACAGTTATTGCGCGTTAGTTATAAAATTGTTAAGATTTATAGAAAAAATTTTATCTATGATTTCATATTTTTATTTTTATTATTATGTTGAACATATTTAATATATATTGTAATTTTTATTTTAATATTTGTAAGGGACTGCGACTGTTTGTGTTGTAATTTGTATTTAAGCCATTATTTATTGCATTTTTAATCTGTTCAGTTTATTATTCTGTCGTTTTTAGTTTATATTTTTAATATTATTTTTGACCCAGATTAAGTATTTTTTTACACACTTTTCGCTTTATTGTTTGTGTCATTTTGTGAAATTTATAGCATTCAAGGGATGGAGGGACCAAAGAGTGGTATAATTTCTTTGTGGGCATAATTATGTTTTCTTTTTTCATATTGGGTTTTATAACGACCCAATAATAATACATTCCAGTCCATTGCAGTTAAAGCAAAATGCATGGCAATTGTGAGGCTTAAATTACAAATATGTGTCAGTAGTATTTTTGTGGGATTAAGGCAATATATTTATAGAATTATATTTAAATATACTGGATTTATGCATAACATATTTCACACAAAACCAGGATTAGTCTGAAGATTACAATGTTAGCTGAAGCTTGCATCCACGTTCTATTTCTTCAAGTTCTAGTTCTGTTCTAGTTCTGTTCTAGTTCTGTTCTAGTTCTGTTCTAGTTCTGTTCTAGTTCTGTTCTAGTTCTGTTCTAGTTCTGTTCTAGTTCTTTCTAGTTCTGTTCTAGTTCTGTTCTAGTTCTGTTCTAGTTCTGTTCTAGTTCTGTTCTAGTTCTGTTCTAGTTCTGTTCTAGTTCTGTTCTAGTTCTTCTAGTTCTGTTCTAGTTCGGTTCTAGTTCTGTTCTAGTTCTGTTCTAGTTCTGTTCTAGTTCTGTTCTAGTTCTGTTCTAGTTTCTGTTCTAGTTCTGTTCTAGTTCTGTTCTAGTTCTGTTTCTAGTTCTGTTCTAGTTCTGTTCTAGTTCTGTTCTAGTTCTGTTCTAGTTCTGTTCTAGTTCTGTTCTAGTTCTGTTCTAGTTCTGTTCTAGTTCTGTTCTAGTTCTGTTCTAGTTCTGTTCTAGTTCTGTTCTAGTTCTGTTCTAGTTCTGTTCTAGTTCTGTTCTAGTTCTGTTCTAGTTCGGTTCTAGTTCTGTTCTAGTTCTGTTCTAGTTCTGTTCTAGTTCGGTTCTAGTTCTGTTCTAGTTCTGTTCTAGTTCTGTTCTGTTCTAGTTCTGTTCTAGTTCTGTTCTAGTTCTGTTCTAGTTCTGTTCTAGTTCTGTTCTAGTTCTGTTTCTAGTTCTGTTCTAGTTCTGTTCTAGTTCTGTTCTAGTTCTGTTCTAGTTCTGTCTAGTTCTGTTCTAGTTCTGTTCTAGTTCTGTTCTAGTTCTGTTCTAGTTCTGTTCTAGTTCTGTTCTAGTTCTGTTCTAGTTCTGTTCTAGTTCTGTTCTAGTTCTGTTCTAGTTCTGTTCTAGTTCTGTTCTAGTTCTGTTCTAGTTCTGTTCTAGTTCTGTTCTAGTTCTGTTCTAGTTCTGTTCTAGTTCTGTTCTAGTTCTGTTCTAGTTCTGTTCTAGTTCTGTTCTAGTTCTGTTCTAGTTCTGTTCTAGTTCTGTTCTAGTTCTGTTCTAGTTTTGTTCTAGTTCTGTTCTAGTTCTGTTCTAGTTCTGTTCTAGTTTCTGTTCTAGTTCTGTTCTAGTTCTGTTCTAGTTCTGTTCTAGTTCTGTTCTAGTTCTGTTCTAGTTCTGTTCTAGTTCTGTTCTAGTTCTGTTCTAGTTCTGTTCTAGTTCTGTTCTAGTTCTGTTCTAGTTCTGTTCTAGTTCTGTTCTAGTTCTGTTCTAGTTCTGTTCTAGTTCTGTTCTAGTTCTGTTCTAGTTCTGTTCTAGTTCTGTTCTAGTTCTGTTCTAGTTCTGTTCTAGTTCTGTTCTAGTTCTGTTCTAGTTCTGTTCTAGTTCTGTTCTAGTTCTGTTCTAGTTCTGTTCTAGTTCTGTTCTAGTTCTGTTCTAGTTCTGTTCTAGTTCTGTTCTAGTTCTGTTCTAGTTCTGTTCTAGTTCTGTTCTAGTTCTGTTCTAGTTCTGTTCTAGTTCTGTTCTAGTTCTGTTCTAGTTCTGTTCTAGTTCTGTTCTAGTTCTGTTCTAGTTCTGTTCTAGTTCTGTTCTAGTTCTGTTCTAGTTCTGTTCTAGTTCTGTTCTAGTTCTGTTCTAGTTCTGTTCTAGTTCTGTTCTAGTTCTAGTTCTGTTTAGTTCTGTTCTAGTTCTGTTCTAGTTCTGTTCTAGTTCTGTTCTAGTTCTGTTCTAGTTCTGTTCTAGTTCTGTTCTAGTTCTGTTCTAGTTCTGTTCTAGTTCTGTTCTAGTTCTGTTCTAGTTCTGTTCTAGTTCTGTTCTAGTTCTGTTCTAGTTCTGATCTGGTTATATAGCCATTTTCCACCGAATGAAAGTTTCCATTTTGTTACACTCATCTCTTCCCACAGCTCAACTGTGTCAACTAAACGATGACATTTAATGATAAACGACTACGTATTTCACAAAAACATTTGAAAAACTTTTCTATATTTATTAAATTGTTTGTTTTCCTAAAAAATCTAGCATAAACACTTACCTCGCCGCCCTTTTCCTTGGCTACACGACTCAAACGATAGCAACGATCCACACCCACCGTACAGATTGAGGGATTACATTGTGTCAAATAACGACCACTGCCACAACCAACATCACAGACCACTGAACCGGCTTCTAAATTACTAAGAAATTGAGCAACACGCGGTCGTAATGACCCAGTTGGCTCCTCACAATTCTCATAGACATCATGGACGTAGGCACGCTCCAAGGCAGCCGAACGACCATTGGCATCATTCGATGACGACGAAGAAGATGAAGATTTTTTAGGTGTTGCCTTCGCTGGTGCTGTTGTCAGAGCTGTGGAGGCGTTTGTTGCTGTTGTAGTTAAAGCAGTGCAGTGATTTGTTAATGAGGAGGAAGTAGAATTTATGCCAGTGGGTGATAGAGTTGTTGCTGCTGCTACTGCTGTTGTTACTTGGCCATTGTGGGTTATTATATGAGGAGAGTGATTGTGAGAGGGTATTTGTAATTGTGTTTTCTTGGGTATAGTACCCGTTAAAGGGGAGGAAGAGTTTGTTGTTGCAGGTGATAAAGAGGCTGTGGGTGATATAATTGTAGGAGTTAGATTTGTATGTAGAAATGTGGCACCATTAGCTGTACCAACGACTACACCATTAATGGAGGAAGTAGTAGTTCCTCCTGCCGCTGCTGCTCCTGCAGCAGTTGTAACTCCTGAGGTGTTGGTATTGCTAGACAATTGTTTAGTCATTGGATTAAAAGTAAATTTTGTTGAGGTTGTTGCAATAATCGATGAGTTTGTGGTCGATGTTGTTGTTGCTGTAGATTTGGTTGAAGTTGTTGTGGAGTTGTTGTAGACAAAAGAGGAAACGTTGTTGTTGTTGTTGCCGCCGTTGCAGCAGTTGAAAGATGACAGTTGTTCGTAGTTGTATAGAGTTGTTTATAGTCTGTGTTAAGGACGAAATGCTCATCTGCAACGGAAGTGAGAGGAAATATTAGTTAAAATAATTTAATATTTAAATTGGTTAGGAAGTACATATTGTGATTAGAAACTATAGATTTTGAGATATTCGTAAATAAGTTAGTACTGAATAATTTATTTAGTAGAATGTTAAAGCAACGGATATGAACAAGACTGCTGCTATAATTTTTTAAATGAGAACTACGGTACTTTCCTGAGTACTAATAACTAATTGTTATTTTCCTAATCTTAATAGGTTAAGTTGTAAGGAAGGTTTATTTTACATCAGTAAGGCTGTGATTGTGTACCTTTTACTTCTAGTTCAGTTCTAGTTCAGTTCTAGTTCAGTTATAGTTCAGTTCTAGTTCAGTTCTAGTTCAGTTCTAGTTCAGTTCTAGTTCTAGTTCAGTTCTAGTTCAGTTCTAGTTCAGTTCTAGTTCAGTTCTAGTTCAGTTCTAGTTCAGTTCTAGTTCAGTTCTAGTTCAGTTCTAGTTCAGTTCTAGTTCAGTTCTAGTTCAGTTCTAGTTCAGTTCTAGTTCAGTTCTAGTTCAGTTCTAGTTCAGTTCTAGTTCAGTTCTAGTTCAGTTCTAGTTCAGTTCTAGTTCAGTTCTAGTTCAGTTCTAGTTCGTTCTAGTTTAGTTCTAGTTTAGTTCTAGTTCAGTTCTAGTTCAGTTCTAGTTCAGTTTCTAGTTCAGTTCTAGTTCTAGTTCCGTTCTAGTTCAGTTCTAGTTCAGTTCTAGTTCAGTTCTAGTTCAGTTCTAGTTCAGTTCTAGTTCAGTTCTAGTTCAGTTCTAGTTCAGTTCTAGTTCAGTTCTAGTTCAGTTCTAGTTCAGTTCTAGTTCAGTTCTAGTTCAGTTCTAGTTCAGTTCTAGTTCAGTTCTAGTTCAGTTCTAGTTCAGTTCTAGTTCAGTTCTAGTTCAGTTCTAGTTCAGTTCTAGTTCAGTTCTAGTTCAGTTCTAGTTCAGTTCTAGTTCAGTTCTAGTTCAGTTCTAGTTCAGTTCTAGTTCAGTTCTAGTTCAGTTCTAGTTCAGTTCTAGTTCAGTTCTAGTTCAGTTCTAGTTCAGTTCTAGTTTCAGTTCTAGTTCAGTTCTAGTTCAGTTCTAGTTCAGTTCTAGTTCAGTTCTAGTTCAGTTCTAGTTCAGTTCTAGTTCAGTTCTAGTTCAGTTCTAGTTCAGTTCTAGTTCAGTTCTAGTTCAGTTCTAGTTCAGTTCTAGTTCAGTTCTAGTTCAGTTCTAGTTCAGTTTCTAGTTCATTCTAGTTCAGTTCTAGTTCAGTTCTAGTTCAGTTCTAGTTCAGTTCTAGTTCAGTTTCTAGTTCAGTTCTAGTTCAGTTCTAGTTCAGTTCTAGTTCAGTTCTAGTTCAGTTCTAGTTCAGTTCTAGTTCAGTTCTAGTTCAGTTCTAGTTCAGTTCTAGTTCAGTTCAGTTCATTCTAGTTCAGTTCTAGTTCAGTTCTAGTTCAGTTCTAGTTCAGTTCTAGTTCAGTTCTAGTTCAGTTCTAGTTCAGTTCTAGTTCAGTTCTAGTTCAGTTCTAGTTCAGTTCTAGTTCAGTTCTAGTTCATTCTAGTTCAGTTCTAGTTCAGTTCTAGTTCAGTTCTAGTTCAGTTCTAGTTCAGTTCTAGTTCATTCTAGTTCAGTTCTAGTTCAGTTCTAGTTCAGTTCTAGTTCAGTTCTAGTTCAGTTCTAGTTCATTCTAGTTCAGTTCTAGTTCAGTTCTAGTTCAGTCTAGTTCAGTTCTAGTTCAGTTCTAGTTCTAGTTTAGTTGAGTTCTATTCTTGTTCTATTTTAGTTTTGTCTGAGTTTTGTTTTGAAAAAAAACTTTTTCCTACAAATTTCCTACTTAATGATAGTCTAACTATTTAACTGTCAAACTGACAAATACTTTAATATGTGTTAGTACGCGGAATGAATTTTTTAAAAGTTGTTTTTCGTTGTAAAAATATAGGAAAATAAACCTGCGTCAGTTCTATATTTAAAAATAACAAACATTCAGTAATAATCAGACACATGCATACATTCGTCACTCTCTCAGGTAGCATGTCTTAGACAATATAAAACTGAGAAAAAAAAACAGTTTTTCATATAAAAATAGGTAGTATATTTAGCTAGAAAGAAAAACAACCAGTTGTTGTTTTATTTTGTTTTTCTTTAGCTATTTAAATTATTATTATTGTAGTTTTTGTTGTATTTGCCATTTTGGCTAACAAAACCCTACATTATGACTTTTCTTGGTATACAAGAAATGTGTTGGGTATAACCCTAGTTAATCTTACATGATGACTTGTTGTTGTTGTTTTTCTTTTCTTTATTATTACTGCTACTTACTATTTCTATTATTTGTATCTCTTAGTTTTATTTACTTAAAATTGTGTTGTCTATGGCGTGTGTTTGAGTGTGTGTGTTTTAACGAAAATCATTTCAGCCAAAAATAAAAGCTCTTTTTTTTTTTTGGTTTGTTACTCCAAACTTGTATACATAAATTTTTTCAAACATCAACGAGTATTTTTTGTTGCCATTTACTTTCATTTTTATTTTCGTTTCTTTATTCCTGGTTTTTCTTTTTTTGGGGGTTTTTGTTGGTTGAGTTTTTGACATGTGACTTATTGTTGTTGGTAACAGCATGTGCAAGACAAAGTGGCCCAATGTTTGAGAGTGTGTAGTGGATGTTTTTAATGTTCAGCATGGCTGTTTGTTTTTCTCTTTTCTTTATGTTTTTTGCTATTCGTAGTTGTAGGTTTAGGGGGCTGTAAATAGTTTAATGTTGATAAAATTTGGGCTAAATTTACTCTATTTTACCAAAATGAAGCGACAATATTGTTTTCGTTGATGTGTTAGTTACTTTTTGTAGGAAAGTGTGTATTAAACAATTAAATTTATGAGGATTTGAATGGTTTATTTTATTTCATTGCTGTGTTGCTTATTTGAGATTTTCTATTGTATTGTGTATTGTAGCTGTTGTTGTTGGTGTGGTAATTGTGAATGAATTTTATTCTTTAGTCTTTCTGTGTGTTAAAGGAAAAGCTTTTAGTATTAAAATAAATTTTACTCTTGGCCCCAAATAGTCTTTATGTTTGAAATAAATTAGTTAACGGAAATTATGTTAAAGAGGTACATTTATTTGTTTTTTGATACTGTTAAGTAAGTTTATCATGTTTTCATTTATTTCTTTTTTCTTTTTTGTGATAAAATTGTATAATTTTTTATAATTTCTGTGTAAATGAGGAAATTTGGTAAAAAAGAAACAAAATTGAAATTAGTACACAAATATATGTAAATTAGTTAGAATGAAGACAATTTGTTTGTTAAGTTGGTAGGCGTATAAGTAATATAACTATAATTTAAGATAAATATTACTCATATGGACATTTAGATAATAAGTATATTTATTTGAAAAATACGAAATCATGTTAGTTACTTTTTAAAAAGGAAAGTTAATGTTTGCTTTCTGTAACATCTATTTTTTAGTGAAAAATTTATGGGGGAATTTAATAAAACCCTTTCTTTTATTGAATCAAGTTTTTCGAGACTTTCCAGTGAAAATCGAATCGAAAGGCATATATTGGAAAATTTCAAATCGGTTTATCCATTCCACATGGAGTATAAAAAAGTACGTCGAAAAAGTATCTCATTTTGTCAAGAGGTAGTTAGTTAGTTAGTTTGAAAGGAGGATGTACATACTATATACATCAAATCCGAAGAAATACACCTAGGCCTCTATCCGTCCTGTTGTGCGCTCCTTTACCAGTGCTTCAGGTGGGAGTCGAACCCATCACCTCCGGTCTACCAGACTACTACACTAACCACTAACCTACCGGAGGCCAGTTAGTTAGTGAGTTAGTTAGTTAGTTAGTTAGTCAGTAGTAGTTAGTTAGTTAGTTAGTTAGTTAGTTAGTTAGTTAGTAGTGTAGTTAGTTAGTTAGTTAGTTAGTTAGTTAGTTAGTTAGTTAGTTAGTTAGTTAGTTAGTTAGTTAGTTAGTAGTTAGTTAGTTAGTTAGTTAGTAGTTAGTTAGTTAGTTAGTAGTTAGTTAGTTAGTTAGTTAGTTAGTTAGTTAGTTAGTTAGTAGTAGTAGTTAGTTAGTTAGTTAGTTAGTTAGTTAGTTAGTTAGTATTAGTTAGTTAGTTAGTTAGTTAGTTAGTTAGTTAGTTAGTTAGTTAGTTAGTTAGTTAGTTAGTTAGTAGTTAGTTAGTTAGTTAGTTAGTTAGTTAGTTAGTTAGTTAGTTAGTTAGTTAGTTAGTTAGTTAGTTAGTTAGTTAGTTAGTTAGTAGTTAGTGTAGTTAGTTAGTTAGTTAGTTAGTTAGTTAGTTAGTTAGTTAGTTAGTTAGTTAGTTAGTTAGTTAGTTAGTTAGTTAGTTAGTTAGTTAGTAGTTAGTTAGTTAGTTAGTTAGTTAGTTAGTTAGTTAGTTAGTTAGTTAGTTAGTTAGTTAGTTAGTTAGTTAGTTAGTTAGTTAGTTAGTAGTTAGTAGTTAGTAGTTAGTTAGTATAGTTAGTTAGTAGTTAGTAGTTAGTAGTTAGTTAGTTAGTTAGTAGTTAGTTAGTTAGTTAGTTAGTTAGTTAGTTAGTTAGTTAGTTAGTTAGTTAGTTAGTTAGTAGTTAGTTAGTAGTTAGTTAGTTAGTTAGTTAGTTAGTTAGTTAGTTAGTTAGTTAGTAGTTAGGTTAGTTAGTTAGTTAGTTAGTTAGTTAGTTAGTTAGTTAGTTAGTTTAGTAGTTAGTTAGTTAGTTAGTTAGTTAGTTAGTTAGTTAGTTAGTTAGTTAGTAGTAGTTAGTTAGTTAGTTAGTTAGTTAGTTAGTTAGTTAGTTAGTTAGTTAGTTAGTTAGTTAGTTAGTTAGTTAGTTAGTTAGTAGTTAGTTAGTTAGTTAGTTAGTTAGTAGTTAGTTAGTTAGTTAGTTAGTTAGTTAGTTAGTTAGTTAGTTAGTTAGTTAGTTAGTTAGTTAGTTAGTTAGTTAGTTAGTTAGTTAGTTAGTTAGTAGTTAGTTAGTTAGTTAGTTAGTTAGTTAGTTAGTTAGTTAGTTAG